CTATAGTTAGGTCATGTAGCTAGGTCCAAAAATATGGGCATTTACTAGTTCGGTCAAACATCTTTGACCGGCACTCCAACTTAGCTCGACCCAATTTGGCTACACAAATTACCCTCTCAAATGAGTTGTTTGATTTTCTATCCTTTTGTTTGATTCGACTATCAAATAAAACTGAGAACATTATCAGTTTTTTTCAATTTTAAAATTGAAAATATTATCAATTTTGCATAGTAATGTTCCAAATAGTTGTTTTGCTAACTGAGGGGGAAAAAAAAACCAGAACATGAGATTAAATAGGTGATTTTATTCTTATGAACTCTAAATCTGAGAAGATTCGCAATAAGGATACCAAAATTAATGTTGAAATTGAAATCAAAATAAAAAAATAAGAGTTTCAAAACTGAAAAGATTCCTTAAGAAACTATGGTTTAAGATATTTTAATCTTACTTGTTTTCACTATTTTGCTTCTTTGAATATGAAAAATCAAATTCACTTCCATCAGAGCGTCGAAACAGGTCTTGTGATATATAATAGCAGTGCTCAAAAATGTTTTTAGATCATCGATGTTTGAAATTGTTAAGATCTTCTCTCCTATGTTCGCATCTATAGAATTGATAAAATCGTGGCGTCAATCTACATGTTCGTCGATCACAATTTTGCAAATCTCAAGGTATCAAAAATCGAGGTGAACCTTTCCAACATTCTTTAGGTGAGGAATTTACTCTTCCAAATTTATGAAGCTGACGCCGCCAGGGACGGAGCCAAAGAAGGCCCGAGGGGGTCACGCGTCCCTCCTCAATTTTGAATTTTGAATTTTTTTTGTGGTCATATACTCCATATTTTGTTCATTTTTTTCTTAACATTTTCTTTGGCTAACATTTTCATTCAAAACACATCATTTATAAACAATATCATCTCTTTAATATTTTCTGTCAAATACAAATTAAATAGATTTTATAATAATTTGTGCTATAAATGATGTGTTTTTATTTTGTAAAATCAAGAATTTGATCAATAATTTTTTGTACTAAAATTACAAACTTACATCACCATCTCGCACAGAGCTATAATTATAGAATTTTATTAGCCTCATATTAATAATGATTTTTTAATTTGTCATGCTTAAATTTAGCCTATAAAATTATTATTATCTTAATGTTGATCATGTGTTTTTTTTTTTAAATAAAAAATTGTAATTAATAAGTGCCCTCTTTAACTTAATTTCCTGGCGCCACCACTGGCCAGTGCAACATCAAGCCCACCTCGAATGGAAGTGAACAAAGCTGAGAAGCCAACAGTGGAGGATCCACCGGCTACAATCCCCAACCAAGCCGGCTTGTTCCTATAGAAAGACGGTGGATCGACCATCAAATTAGTCAAACCGGTGGCGGCTCAATCAGTGTGGAGCCCTAGCCTAGCCGTAACAAATGAGTTGCTCTCTGGTATCACCACCACAAGACTTATAGTTAGATGTGCCAGCAAAGACCGTCGGTGGTGTCGGCGATGGTGGCAAAGACATACAGAGCGACTTGGGGGATTGAGATCGATGACCCACAGATGGGGAAGAGAGCTACTTCAAAGAAACAAATTCCATTGAGGGCAACAAAATGGGGAAAGAAGAATATTTATATATATATATATATATATATATGTGGTTATTGGCAACTAAAATAGTTTTTTAGTCGCTAAAAATAATTTATAAATCCCTCCAAAATTTGAAATGTCTCCCTCTAAATATTTTAGTTCTTTTGCGACTAAAAATTGTTTGAGTCACTGAAAATAAATATTTGGCGATCAAACTTTTGGTCGCCAAAGATAAAAAGTAAATTTTTATTTTTCATTCGGCGACTAAATTATTTTAGTAGCTAAAACTACTTATACAACGACTATAATATTTTTTAGTTGCTGAAAATAAATATTTGGCGACCAAACTTTTGGTTGCCAAAGATAAAAAGTAAATTTTTGTTTTTCATTCGGTGACTAAATTATTTTAGTAGCTAAAACTACTTATACAATGACTATAATATTTTTTAGTCGCTGAAAATAAATATTTGGCAACCAAACTTTTGGTCACTAGAGATAAAAAGAAAATTTTGATTTTTCATTCGGCGACTAAATAATTTTAGCAGTCAAAACTAACTATACAACGATTAAAATATTTTTTAGTCGCTAAAAATAAATATTTGACGACCAAACTTTTGGTCACCAAAGATAAAAAGAAAATTTTGGTTTTTCATTTGGCGACTAAATAATTTTAGTAGCCAAAACTAACTATACAGAGACTAAAATATTTTTCAGTCACTTAAAATAAATATTTGGCTATCAAACTTTTGGTCGCCAAAAATAAAAAGTAAATTTTTATTTTTCATTCAGCGATTAAATAATTTTAGTAGCCAAAACTAACTATCCAGCTACTAAACTATTTGTTTAGTCGCCAATTGTGGAAAATTTAGTGACTAAATTTTATTTAGTCGCCAATTGTGGCATTTTTAGCTACTAATTTTTTTTAGTCACCAATAATCAATATACCCCGACTAAAAAAATTTAGTAGCTAAAAATTATACTTTTGCCGACTAACATAATTTTTGGTTACCAATTCCACAACTTTTGGGGACCAAAACTTTTTTAGTCAGCAAAAGTGGTCGCCAAAAGTGTATTTTCTTGTGGTGGCTCTTACTTGTTTTCACCATTTTGATTTTTTGAATATAAGAATATTCTAATTGAATCAATGCTTGATGATAGTAGATGATCTCCTAACTTTGTTGCTCTGAAATTTGTAAAGAGAGAGAGATATGAACAAAAATAGTAAAGAAATCTGGAATTTGTGAAGATAGAGAAAGAAAGAGTGGAATGAAAATATAAAAAAAAAAAAATCAAGGGGTGTTTTGTGTTTTTTGAATTTATAAGGATAGATGGATCATATAAAATTAATAGAGAACTCATGAATTTAAAGTTTTGTGAGTAGAGTCTTTTGTCAAAATAAGACTTGACTGTAAATTCTTCATTTTTTTTTATTTATTCTTATATTTTAGCACTATAATAAGTCTCACAAGTTTGATATAATTAAACTAACTTTTTAAAATAAAATTAAAACAACATAAACTAATGCAAATAGTATGAGAATATAATGATAAATTAAATCAAATATATATTTCATTATAAAAGACATATTCAATATATTTTCTTTAAATTTAAAAAAAAATGGTGAAATTTACCATTATTTTATTGTTAGAATTTTTGGTAGCAAAATTTTCACATAGCAAATTGAGTTCTCAAAAAAAAATTATCAACTTGGTGCATATAAATAATATAAATAGGAAGGATTTTAATTTAACATCCTCATATTATAATTTTATAAGATAAAAGATACATAACATTTTCATAATAATTGGGATCTTTCAATATTTTCACAGAAAAATTTTAACTCCTGTAAATCAAAACCCACAACATGCAGCGGATAAAATAATCAGATCATACCTTTAGATGATAGAACCTCGTGGATAAATCACGTGCTTCCAGAATCCTGATAAACCAACCCAGCAGTGGAGTGATATCACAGATTGAATATCACCCACACAAATCACAGTGCAAAAGGCTTGATCGTTGTTTTGTGGGAGAGAGTCAGTATATGGGTAGAAACAGATCATACGTTGTTTCTCTCTTTGTTACCCATAACCATATATCAGATATATAATATATTATTATATCTATCCATATCAGTTAAAACTGATAATATTTGTATCTTGAGTGGTTATCCTAAATAGGTTTGAATTCAATTTCAAAACCTATTTGGATAGGATTCCAAATTCAAATTCAAATAGTCATGCCACATGGGCGCCCATTACTAACAACTCGGAGAAATTTTCTAATAATATTATTGAAAGACCTTAACAAATAGAAAAAGACATTTTAGACCTCTTTTACTATCCAAAATTAAAGGAGAATATTTTATTAATTTTTCGCGAAGTAATGATTTTTATTTATATATCTATTGTTAAAAGGCAAATTGAAGATTGGGTCATTTCACATGGGCGGTTGTTGATTTCAAAATAAAAAAAGCATGGGTGGTTGTTCAACTTGATTGGTGCATCAAATTAATATTTAAAAAGATTAAAAATTAAAAAGTGAAGGATAAATTAAGAGATATTTTTTTCAAGGGTCTAGATCATTTTTTTTATATTTAATTAATGTGCAAAGAAAAAAAATAATAATAACAAATTTGAAACATCTTATAATGAAGGATAATACACGTCAGGATTAGAACTAAAATACAATATTATCCATATATGAATGAATGACCGAATCAAAGCCATCGGGTTTGAAACTCAACATGGGGTGCTCACCACTTGTGTGCATATAAAGTTTTATTATGTTACATATATAGCCAATTAAATAATTAAAACTTCGCTGGTAAGCTATATTTTTTAGTCAAAAAATTTAAAAATTATTATAAATTATTACATCACTCTCTTTATTTTATTTTTTTATACATATTTTCATAAAAAATTATTAAAATAATCTTGTAGAGTTAGTAGTCATATATGTACACTGCACAGCTGGTAAAGGTTGCATCTACTTGCAGCATTCAAATAGAAACTGAATTATGATAACAAATTTTTTTTTGAAGATGTCTAGGTGTACAGAATAAAACAAATAGAGAATACACAAACACCACACATATGTCCATATCATTGCAATTACAAATACAAATAATTTTTATCTCACATCTATGCATTTTGTATCTAAAACATTCTATACGTTCATTGTGTATTGTTGATCTTTCCTAGAATGATATTTTATGAAAGTATCCTAAAAATAGAAACCATTTAAATCTTGTGAGCAAAGGGGAATGCACATGTGATTTAACAAAATGTTGACTTCACAATTAATTTCACAACTTTAAAGTTTTTGAAAACCAGAAACTCTTTGTCAAACCAACCCACCCTACAAACTTGCGACATTCAAATAAGTTCTTCCATCATGCACTTTAACAATTCAGTCCAAAAATAAATTATTAAAGATTGAACTCTGCTCAATTCTTATCCATTTAGGTCTTGTATTTAAGCTATAGCCCTTCCTATCACATCCCACAACAACATCCAAGATTTACTCAGACAAACAAACATCCAAACACACAAACAGAGGGACAGAGAGAGATGGATTTTGAATATTTTGGGCATCCACATCCCATGGTCTTGGTTGAAGATCACAATGCTGCTGCTAATGAGGATCAAAATTGCATAGGATGCACAAAGCCAATATTGGGTATAGATCCAATCTACAGTTGCAATGAGTGTTCATTATTTCTCCACAAATCTTGTGCAGAACTACCCAAAGAAACTAACCACCCTGCCCACCCACAACACCCTTTGTCCCTCCTCTTTGAGCCTGACCTCACACAAAAATGCGATTCTTGCTTCGAAAATTGGGGCAATTTACTCTACTACTGTTCTCTCTGCGAGTTCAAACTTGACGTTCACTGCGCTACATTGCCAAACACCATTGAACACATCGGTCACAACCACCCTCTAACTCTCCAATTGAAGCAAGCATCGTTCTCTTGCGATGCCTGTGGCAAACCACATAATTATGCGGGCATTTCCTACCAATGCACCACATGCTACTATTGGGTGCACCACGAGTGTGTTTCATTGCCGAACAGTGTCGCACATAGCTCTCACAACCACCCTCTTACTCTGTCTAATGCTTTTCAGTTAGAATTTTCCAAGTTCAAGCTCTACTGTGATATCTGCTCTGAGGTGGTGAACCAAAAGAATTGTGTTTATAGTTGTGCAGGATGCAGATATGTTGCCCATGTTAATTGCACCAAAGAAGAAGAAATTGATGAGTATGTGTATGCCATTTTTAAAATTTGCATATCCTTAGTTTCATTGAGTTACACAATTCATGCTTTTTTATTGCATTTTTGTTCTTAACTTTTATTTTTCAGGGATGAAAAGAGTGCAAATGAAGAAATTGATGAATGTGTCAATTTCAACTTTTTCATGTTCTTATTCTTATTCCATGATTACTCAATTCATGACTTTTTTATTACATTTTCTAATTCTTAAATTCTTGGTTTCAGAGACGAAAAAAATGAAGGCGATGAACCTGAACCATCCGATCCAGTCTGGTTACCCATGGCCGATTCATCAGTAAATCTAGCAAACCATCTTTTACAACAACTCAGCCGTACAGACAACAGCAAACCAACTGCGCTCGAGCAGATCTATCACGATCACCCATTAACCCTCTTCGAGGTCTACTCTGGGAGAAACAGAGAACAAATCTCGAACGAATTAAAGAACACTGAAATGTGCAATTCATGCCTCGAACTCATCTCAGCTCCTTACTATGGTTGCTCTGAGTCCGACTGTGACTTCCTTCTCCACAAATACTGTGCTGATCTGCCAAGCAAAATACAACATCCACTTCACCCAAAACACACCCTCAATCTCCTCACTAGCTGCTGTATCTCCTGCAACGCCTGCGATACTCTCTGCAACACATTCGCTTACCAGTGCGGCGAATGCTACAACTTTAACATTGATGTCAAGTGTGCTTCGTTTCCACTCACAATCCAGCACGATGCGCATGAGCATGTCCTGGCTCTGGATAAAGACCCAGGACGTGCTCGTTGCAATGCGTGTCAAAAAGAATTTGGAGGGTATGCACTCCGATGCAGTAGCAGACACTGCAATTTCAGGGTAAGTCTATAGTACATTTTGTTTAAAAAATGTATGGTACATCGAAAATCAATGGCTCAGATTGAGCCACATCATTAAAAGTGACCTAAGAGTACTGTTGTAAGATTTGTGAGAAGGAAATGAACCCAAAACATTGGTTCTATTGTTGCGCGGATTGTGAAGTTGGTTTGCATCCCGATTGCATTTGTGGCCTTGCTGAGCACCTAAATTTCAAGTTTGAGGCTAAGAACCATAGCGATCATCCTCACCCTCTGAGTTTTGTGAGGAAGTCGAAGGACAATCCACCTCCGTGTGATAACTGCGGCAATCCATGCGATGACCTTGCCTTTCAATGCGAGGAGTGTAATTACAACCTCGACTTCAGCTGTGCATCCAGGTTTGGGTAATGTCAAGCAGTATTGGGATACGTATCAGTATCGGCAATACAGTCATATATACCATATAAGCTGAATTTTAAAACTCTGGAAATGTGTGCAAGTTTTTAAATTAATTTACAGTATGTTTTGAGTGTTTATTGTTTGTAAATTTGTTGGGATCTTTCTCCCATTTTTGGTGTTTTGAATTTGTTGTATTTTATTCTTTACTGTAAGTGCAATTTGTTGTACTTTTTATCATCATTGTAAGAGTGATTCATTGCCTTCATTGTATTGTGTGATGCAATGTATTGGTAAAAATAAATGTATTTTAATCAGTTCATATCTTTTATGTTTCCTCTTCTTTTGCAATTTCCATTTACAAGGAATTAATTTAATACTAATTATATTGACAAGTCAATCAAGTTGCAGAAGAAAAAGAGATTGAAAAAACCATATCAATTTTTTACAAATTTTCCCTCTCTGTGTACAAGTTCAAATTTGTTTTCTGTATTATGAATGTTGTTTAAAAACAGGGGTTTTAATTAGGTGGGAATGGTAAATGGATTATACATCAGAATACAATGAAACAGGTGATCACTTGATGTATATTTAGAAAATGAAATAGAATAGATTTATGAATAATCCGTGTACAATTCAATCTCAATTTAGGATGCCGCGAGGGTAGATTTCCTACCCCTATTCTCTTGAGTCATGATTTTCTAGAGTATTTTTTTTTAATTGGTCTTAAAATGATTTTTTATATGATTTTAAGGTTTGAGAGTTTGAATGTGAAATGACTGTTGTACTCTCCATTTTTGTAGAATTAAATCTTAACAATCTAGAAAAATCACTCCAAGGTTACTCTATAAAAAATCACTCAAGTGAATCTAGAATGTTCCTCTCAATTGTAATAAAATAAAAAAATTAGACTATACATTTCTCGCTTAAGAAAATCTATGAATAAACTTTAAAAATTCATAATAATACTATATTTTCCTTAAATATTTATAAGTATACTTAGGGTTGGCCATGGGGCCGATAACCCACCCAACCAGCCTAGCACAACTCAGTACTTTTCAGGTTTGGAAAAAACATTTAGCCCATAAGATCAAGTCAAATAAAGATTTTGAAGCCATTTAATTTTTAAACTGGGCTTCTTGGTCATAAGCCTTCACTTTATTGTAGCAATAAATTATCCAAAAATTGAGTTTAAGGGGAGTTACGGGCCAATCCTTTTTAGGAAACTTATTACCTGCTAGGTCCAGCCTAATTTAATGAAGTCATTTTTGCAATTTTACCCCTAGCCTAAACCCGCTACCTAGAACATACCCCCAGCAAGGCGCTACCCATCTTCATCTTTAAACTGTTCCACTCTCTTTGAACGATGCTCAGGTGACTCAGACCCTTTGTTGGCCATCATCATCCCCCGTCGCTATCAACATCACGAGCCTCAACCACCGTCTTCCTGTCATCGTCAACATCATGGGCATCAACCACCATCCTCGTCTTCTTCTCTCACCGTCGCTCACCACACACTACCATCCTCCTCCTTCGTTGCCATCACCGTCACTTAGGGCTGTTCAAAAATCCGTTCAAATCGGTAATCCGAACCGAACCAGACCGAATCATGCAGTTTGGTTCGGTTCTATTAAGAATTGGTTCGGTTTTGGATTAAGAATATGAGAACCGTAAAAACAGTTCGGTTAATGGATTTTATGAAAAAATCGCGATTCGAACCGAACTGAACCGAACCGAATTTTAAAAGATATATATATATAATATCAAATTTTATTTTTATTAATTGGCTTTTTATAATTTTAATAATATTAGGATAGTATAGATATATAATATTAAGTAATGCCTTAATATTATTAGTTTTTATCATGAGTTAAATGTAATTAGTTTGAGTAATTATTTTGTTAATATTAACAATTTATTCTTATAAATAGAAATTTTTGGAACCGTACACCAAACCGAAACCGAACCGTTTTTTCGGTTTGGTTCTGGTCCAGTGTTACAAGTGTAACGGTCTGGTTTAGTTCTCAAAATCACAAAACCATTAGGATCGGTTCGGTTCTTAGATTTTCTTAGAACCAAACCAATCCGGACCGTGTACACCCCTACTGCCACTCCTCCATCATCCATCTATTATCTTCAACACCGTCGTTGCCACCATCATCCTCCTCCATTACCGATCTATTATCTTTCATACTGATCTTCACTAGTGACTTCAAATCTGGCCAATTTCAACGCCGATCTACAATCTTCAACTTTAGAACTAAATATATTGTGTATAAAAACTAAAAAAATCAGCCTAAATAAATTCATCAGTGATAAATTTATCATTAATTATTATTGATTATCACTGATAAATTTATCAATAAATTTGTTGAATTCTTTTCTATTAATTCATCAATGTTTTGGTTAGACAGTGTTAGTGATTGTTGAATGATGATTGAATCACAAATTAATTTGATTATTGATCATGGAATGATAAAAATGATTAATTGACCATCCTACATATTTATCTCTTTACATTGACAAAAATGATAAATTTATCACTATATTAATATTAAAATTCCATCACAGCAACAACCACATATCGAACAAAATCAGTGATAAATTTATCACTGTATTAATATCAAAATTCTAGCACAGCAACAGTTCACAACATATTGAACAAATTAGCTTTCAGTGATAAATTTATCACTGAAACTATAACTAAAAATATATAACGCTGTAAATATATATACAATAATCTCCAACAAACACACAACAATCTCCATATTGTGATTAACAAATAATTGAAGAAAAAAATCACACAAACAATCTCCACATTCATTCAGAACAATATATAAACTCAACGTTGAATATAGCAGATCGATGATGGAAAAGAATGATGATGACAACGACAGTAATGGAAATGATGGAAGAGGCTCGTGTAAGGAGAGCGACGACGACAGTTGTCACGACCCAAACCCGCCCCTATGGGTTTAGTATCGTAACCGGCCAGTAACCCTTAGATTACCAAAGACCTCTTGACAGATTAACATAAAGTTAGGAGCTGCGGAAACAAATATACATAATATACGTAGTCCATTGAGTTGTGAAGACATACATGAGACGCATAATTTAAAACTTTTATAAATTTATGAGTGATGTTGAGAGACAACCATTACATATCACCCTTGGTAGCATAATGTCAGAAATCTTGTTCAAAACTTAACAAACAAACAAACTCTAACATGATTACAAAAACAACCACAAATCTCGGCTTCATTCGGAACCTCCTCGGGAGACACAAAGGTTGGCTGACAAAAACAGAACATAGGCCATCAACTCTGGGCCTGGTCACGTGTCTATTCACTTACATACATAATATAAATAGTGAGCTAAAGCCCAGTGAATAATAACAGAATAAAGACTTTAATGAATGATGCCCATAACATATTTCAAACCTCATAGCAAATCAGAATCATATTCAGATGACAGAAACAAAATCATGTTCTTATCCATATTCAAATCATGTGTGGTACATTCTTTAGCATAATCATGTCTCTTTGGTCAAGCCTATCAAGTTCCATAAAGGAACCTCCGGTACCGGGTAACATATCTCATACATCGGCCACGGTATTGTTTCCCCCGGGCAAGGGCCTGGACCACAATATTATCCCCCGGGCTAGGGCCTCATGACCATAAGCCACAGTATTATGTTCCTTGGGCAAGGGTCTCTGCTAAGGATACCACAATTACGTTTCAAAGAAAATTGGACAATCATTCATTCATACAAAACATAGCATTTCAGAAAACTGATCATTTCATATCATCAAAAAATAATTAAAGTTAAGCATGACTTTACAAAGTTATTACTCACAGATAATTGGTAGCTCCAATTAGATGGCAAAGTGGGCAATTCACCTTTCCTGAGGTGCGTGACCTACATAACATGGCAGATTCATACATTGAATCTCAAGCTCGATTGCACATAGCTTAATTCGTTTGTTCTTAATGTGTTTCTAGCCTTTAATCTTCATTGTGGAGTCTTAATCATGGCCTAGGAATGCCTAGGATGGAATGAGGATGCAAAAATGCACTTAAAAATATTTTTCAAAACTTACTGAAAACAGGGATCTCGCTCGAGCGTAGCTTTCCTCGCTCGAGCGGACATGCAAAATGTGAAGGTTCGCTCAAGCATGACTTACCTCGCTAGAGCGGACTGTAAACTTTGGAAAAAGTACTGGTTATATGTTTTTCACGCTCGACAAACGCTCGATCCCCACTCGAGCGTGAGACTCAGACCCTCGCTCGAGCGTGCTGCAAAACATATGAACTTCTGGGTACATGCATTTCATGCTCAAGCATACCTTAGGTCGCTCGAGCAAAAGTGCACGCACTCAGAGTGCTCGCTCGAGCGTGAATGCAAAATCTGGAATTTTCAGATTTGATCTGCAAGCTTCAAACCCAAGCCAAACACTTCAAAACTCAATATTTTGGGCCCAAAATTTTGGAAAACATTTAGAAACTCACAAAATATCATGACTTGAAGATCATTTCATGAAATCATGGCCCAAGGGCATGCCAATTGTACAAAATTTCAACTTAAACCTTATGAATGTTCAAGAACATAACATGCATGAATTCTCTTGTACTCACTCACTTCAAAACATGATCAAATTTGGAAAATTGATAGAAAACATGATGAATTCCCAAAATGTAAGTGAGATGAACACATGCATGAAAGAATCCTTTGAAATTATGCTCAATTTGTGAAGAAATGAACATGCATATAAGAATTCTCATAAAATTAACCTCAAACTCCATGATATGGACATGCATGCATGAATTGACTTAGCTTCCTTAAATTCTAGCCCAAAACCCTCATGAATTCACCTATTTCACAATTAAAATGGTGGATTCCTACCTTAAGTCTTGAATTCACAAGTGTGGTGGCTTAGTCCTCCAAGCCCTCTTCAATTTCTTCTAGATCTCAAGCAATTCTCTCGGTTTCAGTTCAATTTCTCTCCTCTCCCTCTCCCTCTCCCTCACGTTTGTTCAAGAATGAGGAAAAACAAGAGTGTCAAAACATGTAATAAGGTGTAGAAGTGGTCTTGCATAAGCCCACTTAGTGGCATTTAAGTAATTGATCTAAATTAAGCTAAGTATTATTAATTAATCTAATTTTAATCGTTCTAAACTGAATTTTAATTAAACCTATCATAAAATCCTGTAAATCCTAATTAACATATAAATCACATCAATTTCTGAATCGGATGCCGATAAGGCCTTCAATTCGCAACCGAAAGAAAACATGAACAGATCTTTTCCACGTTAAACAGATATAGACACAAATAATGTAACACACATATGCAATTTAATTTAGAATTTCTCCTTAATTACTGATTAGGCATAATTAATCATGGATTAACGTTAATCAGGGATTGGGGTTGTTACAACAGTGGTTGAAGCAAACGACGTTGAAGGCAACGGAGAACGACGATGGTTGGCGTTGAAGGCGACGGAAGACAGTGGTAGTTGAGGCGAGTGGCATTGAAGGTGATGGTTGAAGTGAGCAGCGTTGAAGGCAACAGAGGAGAACGTGTGTCGATTGGAGAAATCATTAGAGGAAGAGAAAGAGAGAGAGAGAGAGTGTGTGAGAGAGAAAACAACGAACAGGGGCAAAACAGAGCAGGGATAAAACGGAAAGAAAAAAAGAGCCCCAGGACTTATTAGTGCATAAAATTAAACTTCAGAACTAAAACAGGAATAACTCTTGAAAGCAGGACCGGCTAGTTAAAAAGCCATTGAGTTTAATCGGACGGAGACTGAAATCAATATTACACATAGCTTGACACAAAGAGTTTTAGCCTAGTCCTACACGGCCGGCCCATTTATAAAATTTTAATTTTAATTTTTATATTATTTAATAGCCCTTCAATACCACACCAAAAAAATATATAGTTCATATTTGTTAAGTGGACGGATTTGAAATTTGAACAATTCTTTAAAACTATGCCTAGATAGCTAAATTCAACCTGATGGCGGGCCAAACTAAACTTAAAATCACATATATGCTCTTACGCAAGTCTAGGCAAAACCCGACCTGGCCCTGTGTTCCTCCACTCCTAGGTGTATGTATAACCAATTTTTATATTTAAATGACCAGCACAGACAGGCGGAAAACACTAATAAGTTAATAGAGTAATGGTAGGGACCTAAATGTTTTACATGTTCTATCAAATATCTCATATGGGTGTAGGACTTACACTTATGTGAAACATTTGATAGAACATTTGGTAAAATATTTGGAATTCCTAATATTTTTTAAGTCAATATTCTCACGTGGTGAGTTGTCATTGAAAATTTCATCATAGAATAATAGTTCTTGATAGAATTTTTAAATAAAAAATTATACACAAGTTCACTTTTTAAATCCAATGATGTATCAAGAAAATAATTAGATGTTTAGTTGATAATCAATCATCTTTTTGACATATTACTAAATTTAAAAAATTAGTCCAATTTTTGAACCCGAATAAAAATACTCTTTTTAAATAGAAGCTCGACAAAAAGTGATATTCTCAAACAAGACGTTAATTAATCTTCTTGGCAATTTCTCCACCATTAACAAAAATGAATATTTCAACTTAAAGAAGAGATAAGAAAATAAAATACCCAGAAGTTCCATAATAATATATAAATACAGAAAAATAGTGCCATCAACGTCATTTACTTCAATCAAAGGACCATTTCAAACAATAATAATATAAACTAGAAATATTATAACCAAAATCTTGAGAAACAAGTAAAACAAGAAAAGTAACAAGTACGTATCTAATACTGATGGTGGGAAAGGTATATAACAGATGCGCAAAGCTGTAAAATGAACCAAGCTAATCCAGCTGGACTTATTTTTTTGATTCGTTAAAAGTTCGTTTGAGATCAATTTGTTATGTAAATAAATCAAACTTAAATCTATTTTGAAACTCAATCAATTTTCAAGTCAAATTTGAACAATTTATTACTCAACTCGACTCGATTTGTTTACGGCCCTAAACTCATGGGCGTGAATGAGGGTCGAACTTATGACTCCTACTGCAATTCAGCAGACGCAATCCTGTGCAATTTTCGTAGTTGAGAAACTGCAAGGTAACTAAGAACAGAAAAAGACGAACATTAACAACTAGATAATATTTGAATTTTCCGGCTCCTTGGCTTTGAAATCAAAAATACAATTGACCACGGCTATAAAAAGTCGATCAATGGACGGCATGGCCTGTGTATGGTTGGATTAGAATTTAGGAATTCAAACTACTCTGTTCAATGGAAGGAGAGTACATGGAAGTTTCTACTTGGTTCTGGTCATAATAACCTATTTCTTCCAAGAAAGAAATTGCCTAGTAAAATACCTACCAACACATATTCGCATACATATATATATTATATATACATATAACAACTTGCTTATTTTTTACAGAATATATATTCTATTTATACCACCAGAAATCATTTCACATCCATCATCAACTTCTAGTTGCATTAAATAATCTTCAAGCATGTTTGTTATGAAATTCCACAAATTCTTGTGTTTTTCTAGAGTTGTTAATCTCTTAGCGATAGCAACTCTCCTAAGTGGTTTAATTATTCAAGTGGAATGCTTGAATTTCAATTTTCCAAACTTCCCCAGCGAAGATGATTTAATTATGACAACCAATGCGAGTATATTTGATGGTGCCATTCAAGTGACAAAAGAAGCTCGCGGAATAAGTATTACAGACTTGTCCGGAAGGGTATGGTATAAGAAACAGTTCAAACTATGGAGCAGAAAGAAGAACATCACAGCATCGTTCAATTCGACGTTCGTTCTCAATATCTCTCCCCAGAGTGGTCCTGTTGGTGAAGGACTGGCATTCATATTGACCACGGAAAGTGGACGTAGCTCTATCCCACAAAACAGCCAGGGAAAATGGCTCGGAATTGCAAATGCAACCACAAATGGTTCAACAACAAAGGACATAGTTGCTGTTGAATTCGACACAAAGAAGAGCTACCCAGATGATTTCGATGATAACCATGTTGGTATTGATGTAAACAGTATTAACTCCATTAAGCAAGTTTCTTTAAATGACCATAATGTTAATATTTCAAGCGCACAAGATGTCACCGTCAACATTCAATACAATGGAACATCGCTTTTTGTATTCATGACAAATGAAACGGTAGGCAGCCAGTATAATCCAATACTTTCAATGCCTCTTAACCTCTCTGAGTTTCTTCCGGAGGATGTTTTCGTGGGGTTCTCGGCTTCCACCGGGAAAAACACCGCGCAGCTCAACTGCGTAAAGTCTTGGCAGTTCGACAGTACAGAAATAGACGATGCAGCTGACCAGTTGTGGGTTTGGATCGTGATTGCGGTGATTTTGGTTTCTTTGATATGCGGATTCTCACTTTTATGTTATTTGAGAATGAAGTACAGAGGGCAGCAAGTACGCGATGATGATCGGAGGGACGTGGAGCAACAGATTCAGAGTTCAGCAACGGCCCCTATGAAGTTCCGGCTGAAGGAACTTAAACATGCTACAGGGAATTTCAACCCCAAAAACGAACTAGGGAGAGGAGGATGCGGGATTGTCTATAAAGGATTGTTAGACAGTAAAGAGGTAGCTGTGAAACGATTTTCCAAGGATTCGAGTCAAGGGAAGCAAGATTTCGTAGCTGAAATCACCACAATCGGCAATCTCCATCACAAGAACATTGTGAAATTAATCGGTTGGTGCTACGAATGCAACGAGCTCCTTCTCATATACGAGTTCATGCCAAATAGGAGCTTAGAAAAGCTCATATTTCGCAACAAAAGTCAAGATCCCGAGGACTCCACCTTGAGTTGGGAGATGAGGCACGGGATAATTTGCGGTGTGACACAAGCATTAGATTACATTCATAATGGGTGTGCAAAGAGGGTACTTCACCGCGACATCAAAGCCAGCAACATAATGTTAGACTCCGAGTTCAACGCTTGTTTGGGAGATTTCGGACTAGCTAGAACCTTTCAAGTGGGTGAAATCACTCACCACTCGACGAAAGAGGTAGCAGGAACACCGGGTTATATGGCACCAGAGAGTTTTCTTACGGGTAGGGCTACCGTTCAAACAGACGTCTACGCCTTTGGTGTTCTGTTACTTGAAGTTGCCTGTGGAAGAAAGCCCGGAAATCAAAATGATCAGAATAACTATAGCAATGGCATCGTGGGTTGGGTATGGGAGCTTTATAAGTCAGAGAGGATCATTGATGCTATAGATACCAGACTGAGTGGGGACTTTGACGAGGAGCAAGCAGAGTGTGTGCTCAAGCTGGCATTAGCCTGTTGCCATCCAAACCCGCACCAAAGGCCTACCACGAGAACTGTCCTCCAGGCTCTCACAGGCGAGGCAGCTCCACCACCTATCCCAAAGGAGAAACCGGCTTTCATGTGGCCACCCATGGATCCATCATTCAAAGAAGATTTGAATAATTGCTCTCTTGAAATAGGTGAAATTACACCAATTACTGTACAGAATGGTAGATAATTGATGCCACAGCAACATGTCCATCCACCGGTGTGTTTATATACATATGTAAATCTCGAGGCCCTAAACTTTTAGAGAGGGTCTGTAAGTAGCTATTAGGAGCTTTGGTTAATCTTTTGTATTTGTTCTTCAGTCTAGTGCCATGTTTAAGTCTACTACTGCTCATTCAAGTTCTTTAATCAAGCCCTATGAGGATTTGTATAGATGGCCTTATTCAACATTTCAGGCCTTGTCATGAAGTGATGCTGTCTCAACAACTTTTTGCGTTTCTCTAAGTTGTTAGTCTCTTAGTGATAGCAACTAACTGGGAGATTTCAATGTTAATCGAGTGGAATGTTAACTATCTATAAGGCCATCTCCAACGGTTCATCAGAATCATTACTAAATTTGAATTTAGTGCAAAATGACACCTTTTTTTATTCAACGGCTTATCAAAATGATATCAAATTGAGGACGCTCCAAAATTTTCACCAAACTGAGGAGCTGGGGCAAATTTCACCATTTTACTGTGCATGTACATTGGTAGTAGGGCCCACCGGACGTCCAACTGGTCGTCCCCCCGATCATCTGGATTACACAGAAAATGAAGAGCAGTAGCCATGGTTTGGACTGCAAACTGGCTTGAAAAGTTGGTTGCTTTTTGTGGTACCAAAACGAAATTCCTTACCAACATTAATTCATGGATAGCAGAGACAAATGCATTGCATGTAGATTTAAATTTGTATCAAAATTAGTCGTTCATTTAGCAGGTGCAACTCCAATAAGGTTACCGTTGGTTTTGCAAAGGATTTGACAAAGCTACCGTTGTTGTGGTTTATAAAATAAGACTCTACCAGTTATTTAATTTCACAATATCATTGCAATTTTTATTTTATTTGTGCTCTGGTTAACTTCAATCTTCACTTTTTATTTCATTTGTCTTCTCATTGTGTGAGCTTCAGTGTATATGATTTCTTCAATTTTTCACATTTTTTTCCCCTTCTTTTCTTCTTTCTTTTACAATATATTTCACTGTGTGTGTGTTGGATGTTGTATCCTATTAAATTTTCTTAAAACTATGGAAGATTTTGAAATATTTGAGAAATCACAAAATTTAGAGCAAAACGTTGATATTAATTTTGGATCTCTAACTTTTCGTGTTTCTCGTGGTAAAGCGTTCACCATTATGGAAGATGAAACTTTATGTAGATCTTGGTTGGCCGTCTCTCAATATCCCATTACTGGTAATAGTCAGCCCATGGTAATATTCTGAGAAAGAGTACTCTTTTATTTTAATTCACAATTGAGTGGTGAATCAAATCGAAACCGTATTTCTTTATCTCACCATTGGTTTGTCATGTGAAAGGCAATTAATAAATTCTGTGATTTTCTTAGGCAAAAAAGTGGAACAACTGAGGCAGACATGGTAATTTTTATTTCTGTTATTAAATATCAATTTTTTTAATGGTCAGTCTATTTGTTATCGAAATGTTTACAAATTTCATTTTTTTAGGTAGCTGAAGCTAAGCACATGTATCATGCAATACAAAAAAAAATACTTCACATTTGATACAAGTTGGGATATTTTGCGCCGAAGTTATAAGTTAGATAAAATTAGAACACAACCCAAAAAAGCCACGCAACAAGCATATCCATTTTCGAATTCAGCAACTAAAGGTGAACCTTTTCAACCCAACAACAATATTGCGGTGGACCAACAACTGACTAATACATCAACACGACCAATTGGTACTAAAGCTGCGAAAGAGAAGTTGAAGAATCAAGCAATTCACGATATTAGATTTGATGAAATGGCTGCCAACCAATCTAAATTATTGAAGTATTGCCAACTATCTCCGCTAGAACTGTGAAGCGAGATGAACAAAAGGCAATAGACCATAAACAAAAGGCTGCAGAGCGTCGAAGAAGGGCCAAGGATAGAGATTAGCAACTAAAAATATTATCTATGATGAATGAAAAAGAACAACGAAATGAGGATCATAAAATAATATCAATAAACATGGAAAATTTAAATCCTATGTGAAGGGCCCATTATAATGAGCTTCAACGACAAATCTTATTTTAATCAACAAATAGATTTCCTTAACTGTTTCATGAAGACCATGATTTCTATTCAATTTCTTGCCGTGTATTTCTACATTGCATTTTAATCTGTTTTCTATAGTTAAATCTATTTTGATTATATATATATTGATAGTGGGTTCAAAATTTGAAAAATAACATGTGATTGATTTGTTATGAGTACCAAGTGTATTGGTTTTTTTATTTGTATCTGTCAAATTAGTATGAAGAGCTCAACATCTAAAGTCTGACAATTGTAAAAAATTATGAACAGCTACCTCTCTCATGATTGAGCTCACAAATCATTTTTATTTTGAGCCGTGCTTCGGACCCTAGTAGAGGTCGCACCCCCAGTGACGTGGCAACATGGAATTGGCAGAAAACATAAAATAAAAAAATAATAAAATAATAATTTTTTTTTTAGACCAATCACACGCGACCCCAGTACCCCACTGGGGGTCCGAAGCTTTTTCCTTTTATTTTTTAAAAACAAAAACAATAATAAAAACACACCTACTCCAAATCATTTTTAAAAACAAAAATGCTACAAACACACAAATCATGCTCACAAATCATTTTTGAAGGATTCAACTGTAAATCTATCATTTGTGTGGGGTACAATTTAGGATCGAACTCCAAATCATTTTTTATCTAATATCTTTTTATATCAGATTTTTGAATGAAATTATTATTGAAGGCAAAAAAAATGAAAAAGATTTAATGGAGAGAAAAAGAAATGGAAAACGAATTGAGGAACAGAAATAGAGGGAAAAAAAATTCATTTTTCCTGTCTAGTCGACTGGCCGATCATCCCCCCAAACATCCAGTGTGTTTTGATGAAAGCCGTTGGAGTGACTGATATCAAATTGCAGAACACGCTTTTTTTTTTTTACTCAAATTTGATGAAAATTCTGGTGAACCATTGGAGATACCCTAACATTTCCCTAAAAGATAGCAAAACAGAGTCTTATTATCGCAAAAGCAAAATAGCTTTTGGTGCCATTCAAGTGACAGGCAATGCCCGTGGGGCTTCTATGCAAGAACCACAGCTCGTTTCAAAATATACTGAGAAAATCAGGCAAATTTGTCAGATCACAGCTTGTTTCTGCAGCAATATGCAAGAACCACCCGACACGTCAACCCAGTTCTAATAGTCTTCAAGTATTGCAATACAAAATCACCAACTAACAAGTAAAATCAAGTGCTAAATGCCAGACTCACAAAAGGCGGCCAAAAAAAATGCATTGTTCATAAAATATTTTACTCAAAATTTCATTATACTAATTAGAAGGATAACAATAATTCACTTTGCAGAGTTATTTTTCTTTCAAATGGCGAATATATTTAGAATCCCCGTATGCATGTAATACATTTCTTTGAATGGGCATGTGATAACAAATCTAGATGAAGTACTTCACTTACACCTCTTTTCTCCAACAGAAACCCAAGTGAAACAAGACACGGACTTAGGCATAGTCAGTTTGTACGGTCAAGTCATGTACGCCCAAATCATGGTACAAGCCATGCACATATTGGAGTATCGGGCGCTCGTCCATTCCCTTCTTTACCTGTCAATGTTGACCACAAAAACACCAGCACACAAAATGCTAATTAGAGAATACAATAGGAAACGAAGGGATTCATTCAGTTAGAAGAATACAAGGCCATTTAGTGGATCAATAAAAATTATATACAAAAATAACTGATCAGTAATATTACCTGTAGTGTGAGTGATCCAACAACACGACCCGGCACCAGCTCCCAAAAACGTGCTTGAGAAACTTCTGAAACATCTTCCCGAGACATTACCTAATCAAACTAATATTAGCATCTTCGATAACCCATCAACCAAAAACTGCACTCGAAATTAAAAAAATCTAAATTTTTATACAAAAGAGATGTTATCACCTGTCTCCAGCATTTACTCAATGCTGAGGATGGAATACTAGGTGGTGCCATTTGGAGTAGGACGCCACCAGTTGCTCTAAACAGTGGCATGACGAGCATAAAAACTGTGACGGAAACCAGTCCCAAACATAAAACTTCAGCATTTTTAACCCTGAAATACAAGAAACATAAAATATAAGTGAACATGAGCAAAAAGAAAAAGAGGCATGAAAAGAGGTAGAGAGGTGCGGGTTAAAAAGGGATTACCCAAGGGTCAAAAGCCAAGATGCCAAGATCAAACCTGCACTGTGAAACAATTGGCATACCCCGAATTAAGATGGATCTATAAGCATGTATACATGTATATAAATATATATACATATAAGGGGGAAAGGATCCAAGAATACAAACTGCTGGAAATTTGTGTTAATAATAAGATAGTGGCATGTATATAATATGATAGTGGTGTTGGTGATAGATAATGGCATGTATAGAATATGTGATAGTGGTGTTGGTGGTAGATAGTGGCATGTATATAAGTAAGAATTTATGTATTTATTGATTGTTGTTGTATATTGATATTCTATTACAATGATTCATGATGTATTTATTGATTGTTGTTGTATATTGATATTCTATTACAATGAGGTTTAGTGGAGTAGGTGAGGTGGTAGTGGTGTAGTGGGTTAGGTTTAGTGGAGTAGGTGAGGTGTAGTGGGTTAGGTTTAGTGGAGTAGGTTTAAGTGGGTGAAGTAGGTGATAGGTTTTAACAATATAATATGTTAGTGGTAGATAGTGGTAATATATAATATGTAAGTGGCATATAATGGGTTATAATGATGTTTGTAATATCTCCTATATAAGGAGTGTCATTTGGTCTTGTAAGATAAGAAATTTTGAATATAACATAAATATATTCCTTCTTCCTCATATTTATCAGAGTTCTTCTTCCTCATATTTTCTAAGTTGGTATCAGAGCAACAAAAAACACAGCAGCCCTAAAACCATCATAGCCATGTCGGAAGTCACGTCCGAAACCACTTCAACCCCTGCCGCTGCCATTCCGGTGAAAACGTCCAACTCTCACTCTGTCCAAATCACCACCATCCGCCTAAATGGTGATAATTTTCTCCGCTGGTCACAATCTGTCCGGATGTATATCCGTGGGCAAGGAAAGATCGGTTACATCACTGGTGACAAGAAGGCTCCTGCGGTTAATGATCCGCTGTTCGACAATTGGGACGCTGAAAACTCCATGGTTATGACATGGTTGGTCAATTCCACGGAGGAGGATATAAGCTCTAATTACATGTGCTATACTACTGCACAAGAATTGTGGGATAATGTTAGTCAGATATATTCTGACCTAGGAAATCAATCTCAAGTTTTCGAATTAACTTTGAAGTTGGGAGAGATTCGTCAAGGAGATGATTCCGTCACCAAATATTTCAATTCGTTGAAAAGGTTGTGGCAGGATCTTGACATCTTCAACACATACGAATGGAAATCAGTTGACGACTGCAACCACCACAAGAAAACTGTAGAAGACAGCCGTATTTACAAGTTTCTGTATAGGTGGTTCACCAAACTTCTGAATCTTTTGACTCTTGATGAAGCCTCTTCTTTTATATTTGAATAAAGTATGGGTGGTTCAAAAAACTTCTGAATCTTTTGACTCTTGATCAAGCCTCTTCTTATTTATTTGAATAAAGTATAGGTGGTTGTGGGAGCCGAATTATATCAGATCCATGGAGAAGGATAAGCGTGTCCGGTCCGAAACGTAACCTCTATTCGGCACATACCCCAATCAATCAAAGAGCCGAATAGAATAACCAATACCTCAGCCAGTAGAACAGATGCCGAGTAGAGGTACATGTAACGGAACAAGGATGGGCCCAGCCTAAAGGTCCAAAGAGAATACTATAAATACAAGATTTTCAGTTCTAGAAAGGTATGTGAGAACCAATATATTTAACTTAGAATACAAGTAATCTTGAGGGTGGAGACTGACTTGTCCGTCGGAGTGCTAATTCCGGCACCCCCGACCGGAGTGTTTATCCCTTTTCAGGTGGCTAGCAGTGGATCACGAGCGTCCCCCAGGATCTGAAGAATATTTTCAAACCACTTCTCCACAATTGACGCCGTCTGTGGGAATACTCAAATACATCCATGGCGGGCGTAACGGAGGACCCTCCAATAGTCACTGAAGAAACCACGCAAAGAGATGACCTCACTCCAACAAACATGCTTGGACCGGAGACTATCGCCGCAAGACATGCCTTGAACTTCGCCTCACCCTCGACTTCGGAGCACGAGACAATGCAGGCGATCATGGAACAAGCAAAGCAAAATGAACAGAGGTTGGAGAACATGATCGCTGAGAACGAACGACTTCGTGAAGATCTGGCCTTGGAAATGGCGAAGTCCAAACAGGTTGTACGCCTAAATTCGGAACGATCTCCGAAGGCAGGTGGTCAACGACCTCGAGCTCGACAAGACGACACTAATAGCGACTCCGATTCGTTATCCCCGGAGCCCAGGAAGAAGGGGCGACCTGAGCCCACCAGTTCTTCTGAAGAAAGTCCCCATATAAGGCACAAGCGAAGAAGGAACAACTCGGACGAAGATCAACACGATCGCTTCATACGACGGATTGCAAAGGCAGTGCTACCCAAGAAATTTAAAGCACCGTCATTCACCTTGTACGACCGCAAATCAAACCCCACCAACCACATCCGCCACTACAAGCAAGCCATGACATTGCATGCAGACGACGAGGCCCTCATGTGCCGAATATTTTCCAGCAATTTGGGACCATTGGCTGTCAGGTGGTATTATAAACTGGAGTCGGCTTCGATCAAAACCTTCCACCAACTACAGAAATCCTTCAGGGCCAGATTCATCACCAACGAGGTCTAGCCGAAACAAGCAGACTCTCTCTGGGCAATGCAAATCCTGCCAGGAGAAACACTAAGAGCATATTCGACGCGATATTGGGAATGCTTTAATCTTGTTGACGACGCTTGCAACGACTCCATGGCCATCACTGCCTTCAAAATGGGATTACATCCAAATAGTGCCCTCCGCAGTTCCTTGACTAGAAGACCCCCCAAAACGGTCTGGGGGTTGATGAAGAAAGTAGAGGAATACTGCAAAGTGGAAGATGACACCTTGCGGGTTAAAGCCGGACACATGGCCAACAAAACGGCCCCTCCTGAAATTGCTCAGCCAATAAGTTTCATACCACCTCAGAGCCCTGAACCACGACAGCGGGCTAAACGAGACAAGAGACGGGATTCTCGCCGATCAAGCGATCAATGCTCACACCAGGCAAATGGACAACTGCAAGTTGATAGTAGGTGCACAAAGCGCGCCAACAAGAAATATACGGAGCTGTTAGAGCCAATCAGCTCGGTTATGTCCAAAATCCAACATCTTTCGTTCTTCAAATGGTCATCCAAAATGGTGGGACCTCCTGACACGAGAAGGTGGGACAGGCGATGTGAATATCACAAAGATCACGGTCATGATGCGGACAGTTGCTATGTGCTGGAAATTGTGTTCATGCATATAATATGATAGTGGTGTTGGTGGTAGATAGTGGCATGTATAGAATATGATAGTGGTGTTGGTGGTAGATAGTGGCATGTATAGAATATGATAGTGGTGTTGGTGGTAGATAGTGGCATGTATAGAATATGATAGTGGTGTTGGTGGTAGATAGTGGCATGTATAGAATATGATAGTGGTGTTGGTGGTAGATAGTGGCATGTATAGAATATGATAGTGGTGTTGGTGGTAGATAGTGGCATGTATAGAATATGATAGTGGTGTTGGTGGTAGATAGTGGCATGTATAGAATATGATAGTGGTGTTGGTGGTAGATAGTGGCATGTATAGAATATGATAGTGGTGTTGGTGGTAGATAGTGGCATGTATAGAATATGATAGTGGTGTTGGTGGTAGATAGTGGCATGTATAGAATATGATAGTGGTGTTGGTGGTAGATAGTGGCATGTATAGAATATGATAGTGGTGTTGGTGGTAGATAGTGGCATGTATAGAATATGATAGTGGTGTTGGTGGTAGATAGTGGCATGTATAGAATATGATAGTGGTGTTGGTGGTAGATAGTGGCATGTATAGAATATGATAGTGGTGTTGGTGGTAGATAGTGGCATGTATAGAATATGATAGTGGTGTTGGTGGTAGATAGTGGCATGTATAGAATATGATAGTGGTGTTGGTGGTAGATAGTGGCATGTATAGAATATGATAGTGGTGTTGGTGGTAGATAGTGGCATGTATAGAATATGATAGTGGTGTTGGTGGTAGATAGTGGCATGTATAGAATATGATAGTGGTGTTGGTGGTAGATAGTGGCATGTATAGAATATGATAGTGGTGTTGGTGGTAGATAGTGGCATGTATAGAATATGATAGTGGTGTTGGTGGTAGATAGTGGCATGTATAGAATATGATAGTGGTGTTGGTGGTAGATAGTGGGTCCCTCAGGAGTCTGAAAGTAGCATACACCCTACTTGGCAAGAAAGATCCCTTTGGAAGGCAACCGGGTCTACCAAGCTTGCACCAACAGAAGCAAAGATTGACTCTCGGAAGTTCGAATGGAAACAAGGTTGTCCCTCAGAAGTCTAAGGTTGTCTCTCACGAGTCCGAATAGTAGCACACACCCTACTTCGACAAGAACGATCCCTTTGAAAGGTAATCGAGTCTACCAAGCTTGTATCAACAAAAGTAAAGATTGTTTCTCGAAAGTTCAAGCAGAAATAAGGCTGTCCCTCAAAAGTCCGAGTAGAAGCAAGGCTGTCCCTTGGAAGTCTGAGTGGATGCACACTTCTACTTTGGCAGCTAATGGAAGAATCGTGGCTTTCCTACCGCTAATGAAGCCGATTCAGGTCCCTTCAACAAAGAGCAGATTGATCAACTCTTAAAGCTGATAAAATCCAACTCCTCATTCGGTACTCCTAGTGTTTTGTTGGCACAAACAGGTAGAAATCCTAAAGCCTTCTCTTGCCTAAACTTCTCTCCGTGGATCATAGATTCCGGTGCCTCCGATCACATGACTAGTTTTTCCCATTTATTTAGTACCTATTTCCATTGTTCTGGTCATGACAAAATCAGAATAGCCGATGGTAGTTTTTCACCTATTGCAGGAAAAGGATTTATTAAACTAACTGAGAAAATTAATCTCAATGCTGTTCTTCACGTCCCCAACTTAGCCTGTAACCTTTTGTCTGTCAGTAAACTATTTAAGAATTCTAATTGTCGTGTTACATTTTTTGAATCCCATTGTGAATTTCAGGACCAGAACTCGGAGATGATGATTGGGCGTGCTAGGATGCTTGAAGGTCTTTACTATTTTGATGAAGTACCTGTTAGTAATAAAAAAGCTCAGAGCTTTAATAATAATAGTTCAATCTCTGTTCGAGAAAAAATAATGCTATGGCACTATAGGCTAGGACATCCTAGTTTTCTTTATCTGAAACATTTATTTCCAGAATTATTTAAAGGGATTGATTGTTCTTCTTTTCATTGTGAAAGTTGCATTTTTGCAAAATTTCATCGCTCTACTTATTTGCCAAAACCTTACCAGGCTTCCAAACCTTTTTATTTGATTCATAGTGATGTTTGGGGCCCTTCTAAAATCACTACTCTGTCTGGTAAAAGATGGTTTGTTACATTTATTGATGACCATACCCGCTTATGTTGGATTTATTTGATGAATAAAAAATCTAACGTGAAAAATTTATTCACCAATTTTTACAATATGATTGAAAACCAATTTCAAACAAAAATTGGTATTTTACATTCTGATAATGGAACATAATATTTCAATGAGCAGTTGGGTGAGTTTTTGGAAAAAAAGGGGATTCTTCATCAATCTACATATCGGGATACCCCTCAACAAAATGGCATTGCAGAACGAAAAAATAAACATCTACTTGAAGTAGCACGTGCTATAATGTTTTACATGCATGCTCCTAAATATTTATGGGGGTGACGCAATTTTAACAGCCTCTTATTTGATAAACAGGATGCCTACAAAGGTGTTAACATACAAAACACCTTTTGATTGTCTCAAAACTTTTTTTCCTGACATGAGGTTGTTTTCTGATTTACCCACCAAAGTTTTTGGATGTACTGCCTATGTTTATGTTCCCAGTCAATTTCGTTCAAAGCTTGACCCCCGTGCTATAAAATGTGTTTTTTTGGGTTATTCCTCAAACAAAAAGGGGTATAAGTGTTTCGATCCTCAAACCAAGAAATTTCATGTGAGTATGGATGTGTCATTTGTGGAAACAAAATCCTATTTCCCCAACACTTCTCTTCAGGGGGAGACAAGTGGAGTAGAAGACCGTTTTTGGGATATTTCTATCCCGCTCCCCAATGTCATTTATCCTACACAAAAACCACATCGGTCTAATAATGATCACTTAGGAGAACCAAGTTCTATGGTGCCTAGTCAAGAAGATTCTTGTTCAGGGGGAGAAGTACTACAAATGATCTAAATCCTGAGCTTCAGGTTTATACTAGGAAGCGATTTCATCTGAGGAATAATGACCCGAATGTCCATCCTAATGACCCGAATGTCCACCCGAGTTCTGGCATCGAAATTTTAGGTAATCCTATTCCTTCTATTTCCGACCTTGATGTTCCTATAGCAATTAGGAAACGTGTCCGAAATTGCATTAAACATCCTATTGCAAATTACCTCTCCTATATAATATGATAGTGGTGTTGGTGGTAGATAGTGGCATGTATATAATATGATAGTGGTGTTGGTGGTAGATAGTGGCATGTATATAATATGATAGTGGTGTTGGTGGTAGATAGTGGCATGTATATAATATGATAGTGGTGTTGGTGGTAGATAGTGGCATGTATATAATATGATAGTGGTGTTGGTGGTAGATAGTGGCATGTATATAATATGATAGTGGTGTTGGTGGTAGATAGTGGCATGTATATAATATGATAGTGGTGTTGGTGGTAGATAGTGGCATGTATATAATATGATAGTGGTGTTGGTGGTAGATAGTGGCATGTATATAATATGATAGTGGTGTTGGTGGTAGATAGTGGCATGTATATAATATGATAGTGGTGTTGGTGGTAGATAGTGGCATGTATATAATATGATAGTGGTGTTGGTGGTAGATAGTGGCATGTATATAATATGATAGTGGTGTTGGTGGTAGATAGTGGCATGTATATAATATGATAGTGGTGTTGGTGGTAGATAGTGGCATGTATATAATATGATAGTGGTGTTGGTGGTAGATAGTGGCATGTATATAATATGATAGTGGTGTTGGTGGTAGATAGTGGCATGTATATAATATGATAGTGGTGTTGGTGGTAGATAGTGGCATGTATATAATATGATAGTGGTGTTGGTGGTAGATAGTGGCATGTATATAATATGATAGTGGTGTTGGTGGTAGATAGTGGCATGTATATAATATGATAGTGGTGTTGGTGGTAGATAGTGGCATGTATATAATATGATAGTGGTGTTGGTGGTAGATAGTGGCATGTATATAATATGATAGTGGTGTTGGTGGTAGATAGTGGCATGTATATAATATGATAGTGGTGTTGGTGGTAGATAGTGGCATGTATATAATATGATAGTGGTGTTGGTGGTAGATAGTGGCATGTATATAATATGATAGTGGTGTTGGTGGTAGATAGTGGCATGTATATAATATGATAGTGGTGTTGGTGGTAGATAGTGGCATGTATATAATATGATAGTGGTGTTGGTGGTAGATAGTGGCATGTATATAATATGATAGTGGTGTTGGTGGTAGATAGTGGCATGTATATAATATGATAGTGGTGTTGGTGGTAGATAGTGGCATGTATATAATATGATAGTGGTGTTGGTGGTAGATAGTGGCATGTATATAATATGATAGTGGTGTTGGTGGTAGATAGTGGCATGTATATAATATGATAGTGGTGTTGGTGGTAGATAGTGGCATGTATATAATATGATAGTGGTGTTGGTGGTAGATAGTGGCATGTATATAATATGATAGTGGTGTTGGTGGTAGATAGTGGCATGTATATAATATGATAGTGGTGTTGGTGGTAGATAGTGGCATGTATATAATATGATAGTGGTGTTGGTGAAGGATAGTGGCATGTATAGAATATGATTGTGGTGTTGGTGGTAGATAGTGGCATGTATATAATATGATAGTGGTGTTGGTGAAGGATAGTGGCATGTATAGAATATGATTGTGGTGTTGGTGGTAGATAGTGGCATGTATATAATATGATAGTGGTGTTGGTGAAGGATAGTGGCATGTATAGAATATGATTGTGGTGTTGGTGGTAGATAGTGGCATGTATATAATATGATAGTGGTAGATTGTGGTAATATATAATATGTAAGTGGCATATAATGGGTTATAATGATGTTTGTAATATCTCCTATATAAGGAGTGTCATTTGGTCTTGTAAGATAAGAAGTTTTGAATATAACATAAATATATTCCTTCTTCCTCATATTTATCGGAGTTCTTCTTCCTCATATTTTCTAAGTCAAACATATCAAATCAGTAAATGCACCAATACATCTTGTAATATGTTGGGGGAAGAGTAAACCTTACCTGCGAATAGAATCAGCAAGAACATGCAGGCAAACTGAGTGGTAGTTCATATCTTCTGCTTTTCTATAAACTGCAAGCAAACATGCAACATAAGAAGAATGAAGAAACTTTGATACCCAATGCAACTTGTTCTAAACTAAAGTCATTCTATAACACAACATACACAATGCAGTTTTTATAGTTTAAATATTATGGTTACATCAAAATATAAATTAAATTAAAAAATAAAAAGGAAATAACGTCAGTTGAAGCAGAACAAATAGAGCCAGGGAAACCAAACCATCAATATAGCAAAACAGCAAGGCCGGTCCAACACTTTTGGGGGTCTTAGGCAAAATTTTACAAAGGGATTTTTATATGCAAGTACTAAATATAATAATTTTTATCCCTTTTGTAATTCATTTTTCTTACATGTCTATTCTTGTAATCAAGATTGGATTAGCCCATTTACTATTGGGGATCATTGAAAAATTGCAGGTTTTTCTTTTGTTGTGCCTTTAGAAAATGAGGTTTATTTCTCTTGCATGACCTTTGGACAAGGAATGAATTGGGGATCTAGGAACAAGGAGAGTTTTTATTTTGTTGAGCAATTGGAAAAGGAAGGTTTTTTAAATAGACCTTAGATAAAAAAGGTTTTTATTTTTTTGGCCAAGGCATAGACAATGCCAATTTTTTTAAAATTTCGTTAGGCATCTAGACAAGAAGAATTTTTTTTAATTTTTATTTTGTGAGGCCAGATCAAAGAGGGGTAAAACTACGGAGCTTGGGAAAATTGGGGGCCATAGGCAAACACCTAAATGGCCTAAAGGAAGGGCCGGCATTGCAAAAGAGGGTGGCTTGGCAGGTTGAGTACAGATTTTGCAGACATATAAACAAAAAACTCCATTGAATTCTGGGACTTGAGCAACCAGGGTCATCTCAACACCAATAAGAGATAACTTTTTTCCTGGATGTTAACATTATGACTGTACTTTGAACTGTTGACTATGTAATTTCAAGTTGGATAAAACATCTAACTTTCACATATGTTTAAGCTTCCCAATCAACTCAAAATAGAAATTAAATTATAATGAGATCAAAAGATATAACAGCAGCTAGAGACTAACCAAGATTAATGCGAGCATAGTTCCGGAAGAACCAAACACCAATAAGATTCACCAACAAATTTGTCACTGCCGAAACAATCAAATAATGCCTAAAAAAAATAACAATTAGCAAATATTCAAACAAACAAACAAAAAAAAAAAAAGAAAGAAGGAAAAATAAAAAACCCCAAATTAAGAATAATCCATATGTGATAGGCCAACTACAAAATAAGAATAAAGAATTCAGTAAGGAGAACTTTTAGGTTGCATTTGGATTTATAGATTTGAAATAAAAGGATTTGGCACTAAATCATTCAAAGAGAATAATGCAATTTTAGATTTGATGATAGTTTATATATGATTTCAATATTGAATTTAATAGCTTTACCAAAACGAATTTAAAGAGAATAATGCAATTTTATAGATTTGATGATAGTTTATATATGATTTGAAATAAAAGGATTTGGCACTAATCATTCAAAGAGAATAATGCAATTTTAGAATTGATGATAGTTTATATATGATTTCAATATTGAATTTAATAGCTTTACCAAAACGAATTTAAAGAGAATAATGCAATTTTATAGATTTGATGCCTACTTCACCCACTTAAACCTACTCCACTAAACCTAACCCACTACACCACTACCACCTCACCTACTCCACTAAACCTAACCCACTACACCACTACCTATATATGATTTCAATATTGAATCTAAAAGCTTTACCAAAATGAATTTAAAACAACAATGTAAAAGTAGTTATTTCAAATCCTTCGTTCTAAGAATTCTTGTTGTAAAAAAATCTTAATAATTTATCCTTTTTTTTAAAACTACACTCTATCTACCCTTCAGTTTCACAATCTACCTATAATAGTCAACTCTCATTTACTTTTGTTAAATTTAACCTCAAATCCTTTCATTTGAAATTCACCTATCCAAACGGAACCTTAATTTTGGTTGACCCATTGATTATTGGTAAATGGTGCCAAGTGCTTAGATATATGAAACACATTATAAGATAATAAAATGTAAGGTTCAGTCATGTGAGATGATGTAATAATTGATGTATATTATTGATTGATATAATGTTATATATATTACAATGATTCATGATTCCTATATATAGAAGAGGGTGAGTGTGTAGTAGGTAAGGAGTAGGTGAAGTGGAGGTGGTAGTGGTGTAGTGGGTTAGACTTAGTGGAGTAGGTTTAAGTGGGTGAAGTAGGTGATAGGTTTAGTGGAGTAGGTGAGGTGGTAGTGATGTAGTGGGTTAGGTTTAGTGGAGTAGGTGAGGTGGTAGTGATGTAGTGGGTTAGGTTTAGTGGAGTAGGTGAGGTGGTAGTGATGTAGTGGGTTAGGTTTAGTGGAGTAGGTGAGGTGGTAGTGGTGTAGTGGATTAGGTTTAGTGGAGTAGGTTTAAGTGGGTGAAGTAGGTGGAGAGTAGGTGGATTTTAACACAAACTCAAGGGGGATAGGAACTGCTGACCTTGCTCGCCATCTTTAGAGTTCCTTGCCAAGCTAATTTTGCTCACCAAGAAGCAAGTTGCCGATCTGATTTTGCTCGCCAACTTTAAAGTTCCTTGTCGAGCTGATTTTGCTCGCCAAGAAACAAGTTGTTGAACTGACTTTACTCGCCAACTTTGAAGTTCCTTGCCGAGTTGATTTTGCTCGTCAAGAAGCAAGTTGTCGAGCTAACCTTGCTTACCAACTTTCGAGTTCCTTGCTGAGCTGATTTTGCTCGCCAAGAAACAAGTTACCGAGCTAACCTTGCTCGCCACTTTAGAGTTCCTTGTCGAGCTGATTTTTACTCGCCAAGAAGCAAGTTGTCGAGCTAACTTTGCTCCCCAACTTTGAAGTTTCTTACTGAGCTAATTTTGCTCACCAAGAAACAAGTTGTCGAGCTGACCTGGCTCGTCAACTTTGGAGTTCTTTGCCAAACTGATTTTGCTCGCCAAAAAGCAAGCTGCCGAGCTGACCTTGCTCGCTAACTTTGGAGTTCCTTGCCGAGCTAATTTTTGCTCACCAAGAAGCAAGTTGTTTCACCTATTGCAGGAAAAGGATTTATTAAACTAACTGAGAAAATTAATTCTCAATGTTGTTCTCACGTCCCAACTTTAGCCTGTAACCTTTTCTTGTCAGTTAAACATCTAAAGGATTCTTAATTGTCGTGTTACTTTTTTGAATCCCATTGTGAATTTCAGGACCAGAACTCGGAGATGATGATTGGGCGTGCTTAGGATGCTTGAAGGTTTTTACTACTTTATGAAGTAACCTGTTAGTAAATAAAAAAGCTCAGAGCTTTTAATAGTACTAGTTCAATCTCTGTTCGAGAAAAAATAAATGCATTGGCACTATAGGCTAGACATCCTAGTTTTCTTATCTGAAACATTTATTTCCAGAATTTATTTAAAGGGATTGAATTGTCTTCTTTTCATTGTGAAGTTGCATTTTTACAAAATTTCATCGCTCTACTTATTTGCCAAAACCTTACCAGGCTTCCAAACCTTTTTATTTGATTCATAGTGATGTTTGGGCCCTTCTAAATCACTACTCTTTCTGGTAAAAAGTGGTTTGTTACATTATTGATGACCATACCCGCTTTATGTTGGATTCTATTGATGAATAAAAAATCTGACGTGAAAAATTTATCACAAATTTTTTACAATATGATTGAAAACCCAATTTCAACCAAAATTGGTTATTTTACATTCTGATAAATGGAACAGAATTATTTCAATGAAGCAGTTGGGAGTTTTGGAAAAAAAGGGAATTTTTTCATCAATCTACATGTCGGGATACCCTCAACCAAAATGGCATTGCAGAACGAAAAAAATAAACATCTAGCTGAAGTACACGTGCTATAATGTTTTTTACATGCATGTTTCCCCTAAATAATTTTTTATGGGTTTGGTGGAAAAGCAAATTTTTTTTAAAAAACAGCCTCTTAATTTGGAATAAAACAGGATGCCCCTACAAAAGGTGTTTTTTTAAAACAATACAAAAAAACACCTTTTGAAAATTGTCCCCTCAAAACTTTTTTTATTTTCCTGCACGAGGTTGTTTTTCTGATTTTAACCCGCCAAAGAATTTTTTGGAATGTAACTGACCTATGTTTCATGTTCCCAGTCAAATTTCCCCGTTTCAAAACTTTGAAACCCCCGTGCTATAAAATGTTTGTTTTTTGGGTTATTCCTCAAACAAAAAAGGGGGGTAATAAGTGTTTCGATCCTCAAACCAAGAAATTTCATTGTGAGTATGGATGTGTCATTTGTGTTGGAAACAAAATCCTATTCCTCCAAACACTTCTCTTCAGGGGGAGACAAGTGGAGTAGAAGACCGTTTTTTGGGATATTTCTATCCCGCTCCCTAATGTTCATTTTATCCTACACAAAAACCACATCTGTCTGGAAAAATGATCACTTAGGAGAACCAAGTTCTATTGGTGCGCCTTAGTTCAGGAAGTTCTTGTTTAGGGAGAGAAGTACTACAAAATGATCAAACCTGGCTTCAGGTTTATAACTAGGAAAGCGATTTTTCATACTGAGGAATTAAGACCCGACATGTCCATCCTACATGACCCGACCGAATGTCACACGCCGGTTCTGGCATCGAAATTTTGGTAATCCATTCCTTCTATTTCCGACCTTGATGTCCTATAGCATTAGGAAAGGTGTCGAAATTGCATTAAACATCCTATGCAAAATTACCTCTCCTATGCAAAGACTGTCTAAAACCATAGAGCTTTCACATCTTAGGATTTCAACACTTGTTTGATTCCAAGGAATATAAGGAACATTGGATGATCCGAATTGGAAATTAGCAGTCATGGAGGAGATGAATGCTTTTAAGGAGAAAGTGGTACTTGGGAGATAGTTGATCTACCCAAGACAAGAAAACAGTTTGGGTGTAAATGGGTGTTTACGATAAAATGTAACGCAGATGGAAGCGTTGAGAGATACAAGGCGAAACTGGTGGCTAAAGGCTTCACTCAAAACTTATGGGAACGACTAATCAGGAGACGTTTGCTCCTGTTGCTAAAATAAATTCCATCAGAGTCTTTATCTCTTGCTAGTAAATTCAGATTGCCTCTACATCACTTGACATTAAAAATGCATTTCTCAAGGTGATCTTGAAGAGGAGGTGTTCAATGAGCCTACCTGCCGGATTTGGAGCAGAGACTTGGAAGCGACAGAGTATGCCAGATTGAACAAGTCATTATAACGGACTTCAAACAATCACCAAGAGCGTGGTTGGAACGCTTTGGAAAGGCAGTTATCAGTATGTGGCTTCTCGCAGAGTCAAGCAGATCAACACAATATTTTATAAAACATTCAAAAGACAGTAAAATTGCAATTTTGATTGTTATGTTGATGACATCATTTTAACTGGTAATGATGAAGCAGAGTTAGCAGCCCTCAAAGAGAAACTCGCAAAAGAATTTCACATTAAGGATCTGGGAGCCTCAAGTACCTCCTCGGAATGGAAGTTTGCAAGATCCAAGGAAGGTATATTCGTTAATCCAGAGAAAATATGTTCTTGATCTCCTTGGAGAACACAGGTTGCTTTGGTTGTAAGATGGTGGAGACTCCGATCGAGCCAACTTGAAGTTACAAGCTGCTTAAGGCTGAAGAAGTCAAGAGAAGGAACAATATCAGCGACTTGTAGGGAAATTGATTTACTTGTCTCATACGCGGCCTGATTATGCCTTTGCAGTCAGCATGGTAAGTCAGTTCATGCACTCACCAGAGGCAGAGCACTTTGAGGCCGTTTATAAGATCTTAAGATATTTGAAAGGAACTCCAGGAAGAGGCTTACTGTTTCAAGAAAACAGGACATCTTCAAGTTGAAGTATACACAGATGCAGACTGGGCAGGAATGTTACAGACAGGAGATCAGGATACTGCTCCTTTGTAGGTGGGAACCTAGTTACATGGCGGAGTCAAAACAGAGTATGTTGTAGCTAGAAGATAGTATGCAGAAGCAGAGTTCAGAGCTGTTGCGCCATGGAATCTGTGAAGTAATGTGGATTAAAAGATTCTTCAAGAATTAAAGCTTTCTTCACCCGACACCTATGAAGGTCTATTGTGACTAACAAAGCAGCTATATCT